GAAATAATTACTCTTAAACTGTAAAGCAAACATTAAACACAATACAAAGTCTCATTCTTTCACAACATAACTGCTGGAACCTAGTAAGATGTAAAGTTGAGAAGTGCCAAATCTTCTCTTAATAAGAACTTCCCGACAGCCCACCCATGTGATTTCTTCATCTCCCTGAACTCACATGGGAGTTTCCCAGGATTCAGTGTTTGGACTTCCTTTCTGCCCACGCTCACTCTCTTGGCGATCTGATCTGGTCTTATGGTTTTAAATACCACCTGTTACAGATCTTTCCCCAGAGCAACTCTCCTTCCCTTCTCGATGTCACATGTCCAGTGCCGAAGTCCTCCTGATCTTCATCCCCAAACCTGGTGCTCCCACAGTCTTCTCCTCAATCAAAGGCAACCCCCCTTCCCAGTCCTTAGTACAGAAACCTTGTAGTCGTGCCTGGCTCCTCTCAGACCCCGCACCAAAGCACACCCAAAGCCTGCTAGGCCTAACTTCAAAGCACCTTCGCAATCCCACGCCGTCTCACCGCCTCCAAACCACATCGTCCCTCCGACAACGGCCGCCGCCTCCTAGCGCCCTCCCTGCCCCTCCGTCCCCTTCCGTCCGTGCCCGCGCCGCAGCCCGGAGGGCCTCGCCAGGCCCGACACTGCTGCTCAGCTTGAACCTCTCGGGCCTCGAGCCACTGCTCCCCTCCCAGCTCCAGCGCGGCTGCTGATCACCCCCGGCCTCGGGCCTCTGCGCTGGCCGCGGGTCCTGGGAGCTCCCCGCCCCTGCAGGCCTTACCTCCCCTCCCCCGGGCGCCCCGACTTGGGCGCGCCCCCGCGCTCCCCGGCTCTCCTTCCCGCTCCAGTGCCGGCAGAGCTCGGGTCACCACCCTCCCTGTTGGTGTCCTTCCCACCCTCTTCTCCCGCCCGCCCCCAGTGAGACTTGGCCCCAGGCGCAGGGAGGGACGCCGGCCAGTGCTCCGCGCCTGACCCGGGAGAGCTGCAGGACGCCGCGGGGGTGAGTGACCGTTGCCGCCGCAGGACATCCCGTCCCGGGCGATCCGGCCGCCGCAGGCTTTCGGGGCGCTGGGGGGGAACCGGGGTATCTGAGGCCGGACTGCCCGCCAGCGCCAGCCTTCGGTGCTTGCGGTTCCCCAGCGGCCCTCCTGCGCGGATGCAGCTTCCCTCTCCCTCCAGGACCCGACCCACCGGGGCCAACCCAGCGCTTCCCCACAAGCCGCGGGGCCGCCCCGGCTGCCAGCTTCTGCGGCGCGCGGGGTGCTGGGAGCTCCGGGGTCCCTGGGGGTGCAGGGCATGCTGGGAGCATCGGGGGCTACTGGGTTCCAGGGCACTCTGGGAGCATGTGGTGCACGGGGTATGCTGGGAGGTCCAGGGGCTGCTGGGTCGCAGGGCAGGCTGGGAGCGTGTGGTGCGCAGGGCATACTGGGAGCTCCGGGGGCTGCTGGGCAGGCTGGGAGATTATCTTGGTTGCGCGAGGACTCTGAGGGGCACTGACCAGGAGTGAACAGCGGGCGCTGGTCCCAGAGGTGAGACCAGGCGGGGGCCTCTGCCGAGGGAGTGAGAGGGGCGAGGCTTCCGGGCGGAGAGGGAGCGAGGGAGGCCGCTGCGGGTCCCGCCTGTCCGAGGCTTTCGGGGCGGAGAGGGAGCGAGGGAGGCCGCTGCGGGTCCCGCCTGTCCGAGGCTTTCGGGGCGGAGAGGGAGCGAGGGAGGCCGCTGCGGGTCCCGCCTGTCCGAGGCTTTCGGGGCGGAGAGGGAGCGAGGGAGGCCGCTGCGGGTCCCGCCTGTCCGAGGCTTTCGGGGCGGAGAGGGAGCGAGGGAGGCCGCTGCGGGTCCCGCCTGTCCGAGGCTTTCGGGGCGGAGAGGGAGCGAGGGAGGCCGCTGCGGGTCCCGCCTGTCCGAGGCTTTCGGGGCGGAGAGGGAGCGAGGGAGGCCGCTGCGGG